CCATAATGATTTGTGTGTGAAATCAAATATTTTCATAAGTGCATATTTGTTTCTGTATTGGTCCTGTCATTTTTTTTTTCAAATTTTACCATCGGCCGTATTACTAACGGCCCACCCTTATAATAACAAAAATCGCTAAGCCTGGAGACAATGTCATTCAATTGCACGCCTTACCCCGTTCAGCTTATGTTTACTGTGTCGACAATTATATATCCTTTATCCCCGGATATATAAAACTACACATTCTCTCAGCTCAAGTTTCGGATTATCTTTCATGGAAAATCAGTCCCAGATAAACCGAAAACAGCATCTGGAAAATAAACTGGTGAAAACATCCGGCGTTGACGGAACTATAGTTTACTGGTGTAGACTATATGGTTTCGGATCTCAGCCGGTTGTAGTACTTAGTAATGCATGGGGTTATTGGGATACATAAAGACATAGCGGATACTTTCGGAAATGAAGTGAAGTACGACGATTCTAAAATCACATAGAATAATACTACAATTGTGACCAAACTCTAACAAATTCATTCAATCTTCAAGTTCAAGACTATGACTCGTTGGCGTACAGTACTAAATGTGTAATTGCAAATGACGATGAAACTGTGAAAACGAAGCCCATTTCCTCGAAAGTTGAATTATATCGTTATACATATAGCATCATGTGTGGTATGAATGTTGTGTATAATTGCCGGTCATGGGAAAAGAAATGATATTCGAATGGTAGGACAAGACGTTTTTAGCCTGTCGTGGTAACACGTGGTTTTGTTGAAAGGTTGTCACAGTGGTGCTGATGAATACCAGTGGTACAAATTGGGAATATTTACTATGTGTTCTTTGATTGGTTAAAACCAAGAATTTCACTATAATGAATGGTTGGTGGTTTGATGTGTGTATATTCACACATCCGTAGGTGTCGTTCACTGAACAAAAGAACTGTTTTTAAACAATGCGATCCAAATGGACGCACTCAACTTGTCCCCGTAAAGTTCGGACAGGTAGTATTGACCCACCCCACCCCACATGCGACAACAAACGTACTTATATAAGGAAGGATGTAGTAGATGTTTTCAGAAAGTAAAATTCACAAAAATTATTTTCATAGAATACTTCAAACCATATAAAACTATGACAGATCATAAAACTATGACAGATCATAACTCGCACTAATTAAAAATTGATGTCACGTGATGGTTATGGGAATAAATCCTTTATTAAATTGATACTAGAATTTATTCTTTGAAAAATGTAGAATCGAAAACATAAGAAATGAAACAGTCACGGCGATGTCTATTTTTGCATTTTGTTCGTTTTTACATTCACATAGTGAAATCTTTAGAATGCATAAATTTAACTAAAATCGCTATGACTGTTATGTTTATAATATATTACATCTACGATATCTAAAAAAAGAGAAGAAATTTTATGAGTGCCCGGTGAGTTGTACTCATTTGATTGATCATTTTGATGTCAGAATTAAAACAACGTTATACACTAATTTGCATATTGATAGATGAATAGTGGAATTGCTGCATGGCTTATTTAAATGTTCATGAAATCTTCTGTGATTAACGTCCAGTAAACGGCTAGTAAACACCCAAAGATGTTCTTAAATTACTTCATACTTGACTGTGTGATTTATTAATTATTTAAAATACATGTAAATATGCAAATTCAATTAATCACAACAATGCAGATAGTTAATTTGACCACTGTTTTTATTTTCCATTTATGACTAAGCTCTGAAAATAAGAATAATAAGATTTACTAGTACTTATGGATTATAGAAAGTATAACAAGTTTATTTTGATTGACACGTGCCAAAACAAACTCGACTACATCTAGAATAAATTTGATTTCTTAATTTTGACAAAAACAAATTAAAACATAGCCAATGTTATCAATTCGTACTATCGCGTGGAAAGAGATTAGCGTTTAAGCAGTGTTTGTCTGGGTTCGTAAACCTAACATTGTTTCATAACTATATATCTTTATTGCAACCTTAGAAATAACATTTTCTATCGGTTAATAGTAATATGTATTTAAAATGAACGTTATAGTAAAAGAGAAAGTCAGTATTACAAATCAAGAGAATTCTCATTTCTTAAAATGAAAGAATTGTGAATAAAATCACCTAACAGTTTAGTTGTATTTTTGTCACAGAATGAATTTCTGCAAATAAGTGATGGTTCTTTTAGGAATATAATATTGGAAAGAGTTTCTTTTTTGGTGTGTTTAGTATCTTCTATGTCATGCAATGAACAATGTCTACAAATCCTATTTTCCAATGGTGTTTTTGGAAGGCGTCCAATATTTGGCGACGCGACTATAGCTACGCTAATTACTTCTTTTGTTCTAGTTGCAAATGGGCACTCAGACCAGAATCGCATGCCTGATTTATTTCCTCTCTCGTTTGCTACATTTGTTTCTATGCCGAGTACGTGGTTCAACGCCGCGACTGATATTGCATCAGCCAAGTGTTAATGTCTTAAACAAAACAAACAGAATACGAGGAAGAAAAGCGGCACCAAGCTGAATGCAATGCTGTGCTGTGTTGTCATTATTGGTGTGGTTAGTGTCATCAGTTGGTGTAGCCAGATTTAAACTAAGAAATACAGCTAAATGTGCATCAAAACAATAACAAACCTCGCTGGCCAAAGACCCAGGGACATGATATAGGTGAACGAACTTTAGCGACGCATGTTGCCTCCCATGCAAGTCTTTCCGGATATTACTAGTACTTTCATTTCAAATTAGTCGTCACATTAGAAAAAAAATCAGCCACACTAAGACCAAATTATCTCATCTCATCTTAATTTTAAGTATATTTTAAAATTGGGGCAACGTTGACGGCGGTGTCGAGTTTGTACTAGCATACGTTTCCAGGTGCATTGGATCACGCACTCAACCGGGTCGGAGATTTGAAAAGACTGGGTTGAACTACCCGTGAACTATGACCCCAAGCTGCGTTCAAATATGTCTTCTGTCCACGTCCACACTGCATGGACTGACTTGAATGTCCTGACACGACACGGTTTGTCGTGAAATTACTAGTAAATAATTTATAATAAAATGTCCACTTGCAGTGAAGAGCTCACTTGGTTTTAATAAGGATTCCACCAATTATTTCCCGCCATTTCATGGGTACTACATTATATTTATTGGTTGTATTCTTTTTGTGGCTAATCACGTGTACTATGCGAAGGGCAACGTACGAAGATGTATCATTCCGCTCTCTAGATTTCTTTTTCATTTTAAATACAAAGGTTTTCCCCTGACAGTATGATGTATCACATTTACAATGAATATGTATCATTAAAACTATAGTCCGATGAGCAGAAGCTAAGCAACATTTTTTAGAATATGTTCTGGGAATTGCGACGGATATAACATATCTCATGATATTATATAGGCGTGATGGCGTGGGCGGGACCTATCTTTAGTCACGCGCTTGATATCCATCCGCCATACTACAAACCCTTTTGATTGGAAATATATGGAAATATTGAAGTAAAAATAAATTCTCGTGCGATATGTATTTTAAATGTGTTTTTTTTTTTAAATTCACAGTTCCCATGCTGACTGAACATGTAGATATGATTACGTTACAGAATGCTTTTTTTATATGTTGCCTTTATAATGGTAGCGTTTTCACTGAGAGTGTTACACGATAGGTTTGTTTACTGCAGTTCCAACTCTTTTACGTCACCCCCAGTTTTACTAAGATCCAAAATTAGTTCAGATATTCAGTGAAAATATATTAAAAACAATAATATTTTATCTAGTTTTTACGAATGAATATGATTTTGGAAATTCATTTATGTTAGTAATGAGACCTGGAGAAAAATTAATTAAATTCAATGCTGTGTACAACAATTCAATTCCGGTGGGTTTGTGTGTGGCTGTTTACCAGAACGGTTTCAAGACGCCCCTTGTCGGCGTGTTTCGCGCCAACCAATATACAGGCATAACAACAGAAGAACGTCATAGGAGATCCACGTACCGAGTAAGCGTGACATTACTTTTGCGAACCGGCGTATAAACCAGCATTCTTTGGATAATATTTTCATTTTTTGACACAGGAATAAGTCATATATGGCTCAGAGGTTACTACAAATAACACTTTTCTGTGTGTTTTTCATATTTCTGAGGATACTTCGAACACAAGGTGAGTGGAAGTACATTGGGTTTGTCCCTTTTAGTTTGTGTTCATCGCAAAAGCATGTGATCCATGATGGCGTGTGTACATTTTAAAAAGTATGTTCAGCTTTAAGATCGAAATTCTGATCGTTTTGTTATAGAACAACTGTTGACGTTGCTGAAATTGTGTTGTTTCTACAACGTAGATGTAATTTCACTGATTTCTGTCATGGTAAACGAGTTTATATTGGAGAAGACAAGCCACTGTCTGCAACTGTCTGGTTATGTAGTAAATTGAAATCTGTTTGTATACATTAATGATGCCGGCATTCGAGTCTGCACCTTGTTTAGGCAGGCAGTTTTTGATATCCCATGTTTCAACAAGTCTTTGGAACATGACTCCTCTAATTTCATGCTATCATTTGTATTGTTTTATTTAATGTTATGGTATTTCTCTTGACCAAAAATAGGCGAGTGTGCAGAGGACCAATTTACGTGTGCGAATGGACGATGTATCCCAATTGCTTGGAAATGCGACGAAGATGACGACTGTCAAGACAATTCAGACGAGCAGCTTTGTCGTAAGTTTATTTATTTGTTTTTAAGATGAAAAACAAAACACCGAACTTTCAAATATGACGTGAAGTGCGGTTGTACTTTTATTTTCCGCCTTTGGAATTCACGCCATATTTTCACCGGATAGTCGACATGCCGGCTGCCGATTGTCTCACGTCGGATGTTTTCCGGGCGTGTTCCTTATGTGGTAATAGTTCCTCATAGCAGTGTCTATTAACATAATTCTCACTTTATATAGTTTCGTTTTGATAAACATCACAGATATTTCGTGGATTACTGTCGGACTTTGAGATATACAAGGGCGTCATACTGGCATGAAGCCGGCGATCATGAAATTTGACTGGCGCAAGATTCGTGTTACGTAGTTACAATTTAACAGAAAATGTACGTGAACTTCCCAGAATTGTTTCTTAGGTTTGCCCGCATTTAATTCAATATTTGTAACGTTTAATTTTAAGAAGGTGTTGTCATTTTGCCCAGAATATCAATACAAATCGTCTTTTGTTTGGGCTTGGGGGAAACTAACAACGTGAATTTGAATC